ATGAAACGAATGAAATGACTGAAACCAATGAAGAAGTGAAATGAATGAAACGAATGAAGCGAACGAAGCAAATAAAATTGAAAGACATATGAAATAAACGAAATGAATGAAATTAACGAAAGGATTGAAATGACTGAAATGAGTGAAATGAATGAAACAAATGAAGGGAATGAAACGAATGATGTGAATGAAATGAATGAAATGCATGAAACGGATGAAACGAATGAACCGTAGAAATGAAACAAATGAATGAAATGAATGAAACGAATGACATGAATGACATGAATGAAATGAATGAAGGAATGAAATGACTGAACTGAGCGAGATGAATGAAACAAATGAAGGGAATGAAACAAATGACATGAATGACATGAATGAAATGCATGAAAAGAATGAAACAAATGAAATGAACCAAATGAATGGAATGAATAAAACGAATGAAATCCATGAAATGAACGAAATGATGAAATGAATGAAAGGAATCAAATGACTGCAATGAATGGAATGAAACACATGAACGAAATGAAACGAATGAAACGAATGACATGAAGGATTTGAATGAAATGAATGAAGCGAATGAATTGAATGAAACCAATGAAATGAAACAAATGAATGAAATGAATGAGACAATGAAATGAGTGAAATGAATGGAGTGAAACAAATTAATGAAATGAATGAAATGAATGATGAAATGAATGAAATGAATGAAATGAATGAAATGAATGAAATGAATGAAATGAATGAAATAGATGGAACGCATGAAACGAATGAATTTAATGAAATGAACGAAATGAACGAAATGAATGAAATTCATGAAGCGCATGAAATGAGTGAGAGGAATGAAACGAATGAAACAAATAAAATGAATGAAGTGAAATGCATGAAGCGAAAAAAATCATTCAAATGAATGAAATGGATGAAGCAAATGAAGCGAATAAAAGCCATGAAATAATGAAATGAATCAAATGAATGAAATAAATGATTGAAATGAACGAAATGAATGAAATGATTGAGATGGATGAAACGAATGAAGCGACTGAAATGAACGAAATGAATGCAATGAATGATGCGAATGACATGAATGACATGAATGAAATGAATGACATGAATGAAAGGAATGAAACGATTGAAAGGAATGAAACGAATGAGGTGAATGAAATGTATGAAGTGCATGAAACGAATGAAACGAATGAAATGAAACAAATGAATGAAATGAATGAAACGAATGAAATGAATGAAATGAACGACATGATTAAGTGAATGAAAGAAATGAAAGACATGAAATGACTAAAATGAGCGACATGAATGAAACAAATGAACGGAATGAAAGAAATGAGACGAATGACATGAAGGAAATGACGGAAATCAGTGAACTAAATGAAAGGAATGAAACGAATGAAATGAATGAAACGAATGCAATGAAACAAATGAATGAAATGAATGAGACAACGAAATGAGTGAAATGAATGGAGTGAAACAAATTCATGAAATGAATGAAACGGATGACGGATGAAATGAATGAAATAAATGAAGCGAATGAAAACAATGAAACGAATGTAACAAATGAAACAAATGAAACGAATGAAAGGACTGAAACGAATGAATGAACGAAATGAACGAAATGAATGAAATGAATGAAACGCATGAAATGAGTGAAATTAATGAAACGAATGAACCGAACAAAATTAATGAAATGAAATGAATGAAGCGGAAAAAATGATTGAAATGAATGAAATTCATGAAACGAATGAAGTGGATAAAAGCAATGAAATGAACGAAATGAATGGCATGAACGAAATGAATGAAATGAATGAAATGATTGAAATGATTGAAATGACCGAAGTGACTGGCATGACTGAAATGGCTGAAATGAAATGAAACCAAATGAAATGAAATGAATGACATGAATTCAACGGTTGAAATGAATAAAATGAACGAAATGGATGAAATGTATCAAATGACATGAAGTGGAATGAACTGACATGACATGACATGAAATGAATGCAGCGAATGAACCAAATGACACGAATGAAATGATTGAATTGAACGAAATCAACGACATGAATGAAAGGAATGAAACGCATGAAATGAATGAAACGAATGAAACGCAAAAAAATGAAATAAATGAAATGAATGAAAAGAAAGAAAGAAATCAAATGAATGAAACGAATGAAATGACTGAAGCGAAGAAAAAACGAATGACATGAATGAAATGATTGACATGAACGAAATGAATGAAATAACCCAGACGAATGAAACGAATGAAATGAATGAAACGAATGAAACGAATGACATGAATGAAATGAATGAAATGAACGAAAGGAACGAAATGATTGAAATGAAGAAAAATGAAACGTATGAAATGAATGAAATGATTGAAACGAATGAAACACATGAAATGACTGAAGCGAATGAAACGAATGACATGGAAAAAATGAATGACATTAACGAAGTGAATGAAATGACTGAAACGAAGGAAGTGAAACTCATGAATAAAACGAATGAAACGAATGGCATCCATGAAATGAATGACGTGAATGACATGAATGAATTGATTGAAATGAAGGAAAAGAATGAAATGCATTAAATGAAATGAATGAAATGATTGAGACGAATGAAAGGAATGAAACGAATGAAACGAATTGCATGACTGAATTGAATGAAATGAAGGAAATGAATGAAATGACTGAAATGCACGAAATGAATGAAACGAATGAAGCGAATAAAAGTAATGAAATGAACGAAATGAACGAAATGAATGGCATGAATGAAATGAATGAAATGACTGCAATTAATGAAATATCTGAAACGAATGAAATCAAAGACCAAACCCGCGGACCACACTTTGTGCAAGGCTGCTGAATCGAAACGCATGTCAAGATTTCACAAGAGCCGTCATACGGAAATTTACATGAAAAATGCCCAGAAGGCGGACACACACTTTGCGCGAGCCTGCGCAGTCGAAACGCATGTCAAGATTTTATACGCGACGCTTTATACGAAATATTACAGGTAACAGGCCGCAGAAGAGAGTGACCACCCTGATCAAGCACCAACCTTCGCATCTACCGTCAGAATCCCTCAGTGTAGACACACTGTCTGGGGAAGAATGTTTTTACATTCTAGCTGCCAAATAAATTCCGACCTTCAATCTAACATTCTATCCAACATTATCTAACACTAACATATTTCCTCTAACACATATTCCAGTTTTATCACCTACCCTGTCTACCATTTTCAACATTCTATCTAACATATATGCTATCATAACATTTATGCGGTCATACTATCGCATATTTCATTTGAGATTTCTTAAAGCTTACAGAATTTAACATGTCCTTAACATTCTATTTGGCGCTTACTTTAACTAAAATCCGGAACCAAGTAGCTAGGCCCACCAGCCGAGCCAGCGTGCCAGCCAGCCAACTAGCCAAGCAGCCAGCCGGCCGGCCGGCCGGCCAGCCAAAAACTACGCCAGTGCAAAGGTATCCAGGCGGCCGGCCGGCCGGCCGGCCAAAACCTAAACTGAGTCCAGCCGGCCGGCCGGCCGGACGTAGCTCATACACACGCCTAGCCGGCCGGCCGGCTGGAATCAACACAGACTGGCCGGCCGGCCGGGCAAGAAAATAGCAGGCCGAGTTCCCTGCGCAGTCTCTAACAGTCTTGTTTGCATTGATGTTTGCATTGCTTTTTCATAGGCTTTCATCATGTTGTTGATGTTGGCATTTTTCATAGTCTGAGATAAAGTTTTGGTCACTATGCCCAAGCAATCTCTCAGATTGCACGGGCGTGGTGAAAATTTCAAGAGACAAGACCAGAAACAGAGGCGACAACGAAGGGGCAGAAAAGTTGAAGCCACGACAAAAAAATCAGAAACCGGATTTCTACAAGATCCACCAGTTATTTTTGGTTTTTTGACACCAAACAAAAGTTTCTCTACAAAATCCAATTGTTTCTGGGATGGCTTTTGAGGGTGTGTTTGAACCAAGTTTTCAGGTGGATTTCCATGATTTGGATTTTGTAGAAGCGTGGGGTGCCCCAGGTCCCAACAAAAGTGGGGTTGGGTGTTTGGATTTTGTAGGCCTGGCAGTTTCCTGTTCAAATGCTCTGTTTTTGGTTTTGTAGAGGCCGTTTTGGTGTTTTCCAGAAATGTGTCTACAGAATCTGAAGCCCCAACCCCACCAGGTCAATTTTTGGGGTATTGCCGGATGATGATATTGAGAATGATGAGATGGATGATGATGATGATGATGGTGATGATGGTGATGATGACGATGATGATGATGACGATGATGACGATGATGATGGTGATGATGATGTTGAGGATGATGATGTTGAGGATGATGATGTTGAGGAGGATGAGAATGTAGAAGATGAAGTAGAGGATGCTAAGGTGGAGGGTAATGATGTTGAGAAGGGGGAAGATGATGATGTTGAGGATGAAAATGTTGAGGGGGATGGTGGCAAGGCTGATAATGTTGCAGAAGATGAGGTGGAGGAGGTTGATGTTGGGGAAGATGAGGCGGAGGATGATGATGTCAAGGGGGAGGACGATGATAATGTTGAGAATGAAGATGCTGAGGAGGAGGAGGAGGAGGAGGAGGAGGAGCATGATGATGTTGAGGAGGAGGACCGATCCCAAGACTGGGACCCACACTTTTTGCGAGCCTCCGCAGTCGAAATGCACTTGCGCATGTCAGAAGAGCCATTTGTGCCAGAATTTAAAGGCAAAATGCCGCAGAACGAGACCGCGGACCACACTTTGTGCGAGCTTGCAGTCGACATGCGTTTGGACGTTTCACAAGAGGCATTTTACCTCTGTACTTCCTTCGATCTCTCCTGCACAAGGGCCCGACAAGGAATCCTCCATTCCTTGAAATGAATTTAGATCTCAAGTTTGCCAGGCGATGGCTCTGGCCAAAGTAAGTTCTATTTTGGCTCAAGCACAATTTTGGGGGTGCTGTCAAGACATGCTTGCGCCACATTCGTGGGTGACCGAGGTTGTTTTACCTCGTGTACGTGACAGTCATTGTCTTCGCAGTGATACGTGTAATTTCTGCAATTTTTTTGAAAGACACCCTCGATGCTGCTCACAACGACGCGGAAAATTTGGTTTTTGACAGGTTGAAGAAGAAGGCGTCTTATGTGCGCAAATTGCAGGACATATTCAAAGCCATTGATAACACTTCGGACGGCATGGTCACGGAAGACAAGTTGTCGAGTGTTCTGGCCAATCCAACTGTGGCGGCCTACTTCCATACATTGGATGTCGAGTCTTGGCTTAGGTGCAAGCCTATTCGCCCAAAAGAGAAGCATGCGGGGAGAGTATGAAGGCCCATGAGTTTGGCCCAGCTTTCTGCTGGACATACTGGACATGATGTTTCCTCGTTTTTCAATTTGTAAGATTCTGCTGACACGTGTCTCCAAGGATGTCGTGGACAGCGCGACCTTGTTTCACTTGCTCGATAACGGTGCCTTGGTGTGTGCAACTTTTCCAAGGATGGTTTTGAGGACCGTGGGTGTTAAAGAGGCTTAATCTATTTCCTCCATCTCTCCCGGAGCAGTAGTAGCAGCAGTAGCAGCAGAGGAGTAGGCGGAGCAGTTAGTAGCAGCAGTCGTCGTAGTAATAGTTGTCGTCGTGGTAGTAGTAGCGGTACTAGAATTAGTAGTGTTAGTAGTACTAGTAGTACTCGTAGCACTAGGAGTGTTCCTAGTAGTAGCAGCAGCAGCAGCAGTAGTAGGTAGCCGTGGTGGTTTTGGTAGTAGTAGCAGTAGCAGGTAGCAGTAGCAGTAGCGGCAGCAGGAGGAGGAGGAGTAGTATAGTCGTCGTCGTAGTCGTGGTAGTAGAAGAAGGCGCAGTAGTAGTATTAGTAGGAGTAGTAGAAGTAGAAGCGGAAGAAAAAGTAGAAGTAGAAGTGAAATAGAAGTAGAAGTAGGAGGAGGAGAAGCAGAAGTAGATGTAGCCAAAGTAGTAGTAGAAGTAGTAGTAGAAGTAGTAGTGCAGGTAGAAGTAGTCGAAGTAGCCGAAGTAGTATCTATAGTGGAAGCAAAGTACTAGTGGAAGTAGTAGGTGAAGTCGTCGTGGATGTCGTGTAGTAGAAGTAGTCGTCGTAGTCGTAGTCGTAGCCGTAGTCGTAGTCGTAGTCGTAGTCGTAGTCGTGGTCGTGGTCGTAGTGGTCGTGGTCGTGGTCGTGGTTGGTCGTCGTCGTCGTGGTCGTCGTGGTCGTCGTGGTCGTCGTGGTCGTCGTGGTCGTCGTGTCGTCGTCGTGGTCGTCGTGGTCGTCGTGGTCGTCGTGGTCGTGGTCGTCGTGGTCGTCGTGGTCGTCGTGGTCGTCGTGGTCGTCGTGGTCGTCGTGGTCGTCGTGGTCGTCGTGGTCGTCGTGGTCGTGGTCGTGGTCGTCGTCGTAGTCGTCGTCGTAGTAGTAGTAGTAGGAGGAGGAGTAGTAGTAGTAGTCGCCGTCGAGTCGTATAGTCGTATAGTCGTATAGTCGTATATAGTCGTATATAGTCGTATATATAGTCGTATATAGTCGTATATAGTCGTATATAGTCGTATATAGTCGTATATGGTCGTATATAGTCGTATATAGTCGTATATAGTCGTATATAGTCGTATATAGTCGTATATAGTCGTATATAGTCGTATATAGTCGTATAGTCGTATAGTCGTATAGTCGTATAGTCGTCGTAGTCGTTGTAGTCGTCGTAGTCGTCGTAGTCGTAGTCGTAGTCGTCGTAGTCGTAGTCGTCGTCGTAGTCGTCGTCGTCGTAGTACTAGTACTAGTACTAGTACTGATAGTAGTAGTAGTAGTAGTAGTAGTAGGTAGTATGTAGTAGGTAGTATGTAGTAGTAGTAGTAGGTAGTATGTAGTAGTAGTAGTAGTAGTAGTAGGTAGTATGTAGTAGTAGTGGTAGTAGTGGTAGTAGTAGTAGTAGGAGGAGGAGTAGTAGTATGTAGTAGTAGTAGTAGTAGTAGTAGTAGTAGTAGTGGTAGTGGTAGTAGTAGTAGTAGGTAGTAGGTAGTATGTAGTATGTAGTATGTAGTATGTAGTATGTAGTATGTAGTATGTAGTATGTAGTATGTAGTATGTAGTATGTAGTATGTAGTATGTAGTATGTAGTATGTAGTATGTAGTATGTAGTATGTAGTATGTAGTATGTAGTATGTAGTATGTAGTATGTAGTAGGTAGTATGTAGTAGGTAGTAGGTAGTAGGTAGTAGGTAGTATGTAGTAGGTAGTAGGTAGTAGGTAGTAGGTAGTAGGTAGTAGGTAGTAGGTAGTAGGTAGTAGGTAGTAGGTAGTAGGTAGTAGGTAGTAGGTAGTAGGTAGTAGGTAGTAGGTAGTAGGTAGTAGGTAGTAGGTAGTAGGTAGTAGGTAGTAGGTAGTAGGTAGTAGGTAGTAGGTAGTAGGTAGTAGGTAGTAGGTAGTAGGTAGTAGGTAGTAGGTAGTAGGTAGTAGGTAGTAGGTAGTAGGTAGTAGGTAGTAGGTAGTAGGTAGTAGGTAGTAGTAGTAGTAGTAGTAGTAGTAGTAGTAGGTAGTAGGTAGTAGGTAGTAGGTAGTAGGTAGTAGTAGTAGTAGTACGTAGTAGGTAGTAGGTAGTAGGTAGTAGGTAGTAGGTAGTAGGTAGTAGGTAGTAGGTAGTAGGTAGTAGGTAGTAGGTAGTAGGGAGTAGGGAGTAGGTAGTAGGGAGTAGGGAGTAGGTAGTAGGTAGTAGGTAGTAGGTAGTAGGTAGTAGGTAGTAGGTAGTAGGTAGTAGGTAGTAGGTAGTAGGTAGTAGGTAGTAGGTAGTAGGTAGTAGGTAGTAGGTAGTAGGTAGTAGGTAGTAGGTAGTAGGTAGTGGTAGTAGTAGTAGTAGGTAGTAGGTAGTAGGTAGTAGGTAGTAGGTAGTAGTAGTGGTAGTAGGTAGTAGTAGTAGTAGTAGGTAGTAGGTAGTAGGTAGTAGGTAGTAGGTAGTAGGTAGTAGGTAGTAGGTAGTAGGTAGTAGGTAGTAGGTAGTCGGTAGTCGGTAGTCGGTAGTCGGTAGTCGGTAGTCGGTAGTCGGTAGTCGGTAGTCGGTAGTCGGTAGTCGGTAGTCGGTAGTAGGTAGTAGGTAGTAGGTAGTAGGTAGTAGGTAGTAGGTAGTAGGTAGTAGGTAGTAGGTAGTAGGTAGTAGGTAGTAGGTAGTAGGTAGTAGGTAGTAGGTAGTAGGTAGTAGGTAGTAGGTAGTAGGTCGTAGGTAGTAGGTCGTAGGTAGTAGGTCGTAGTAGTAGTTAGTAGTAGTTAGTAGTAGTTAGTAGTAGTTAGTAGTAGTTAGTAGTAGTTAGTTAGTTAGTTGTAGTTAGTTGTAGTTAGTTGTAGTTAGTAGTAGTTAGTAGTAGTTAGTAGTAGTTAGTAGTAGTTAGTAGTAGTTAGTAGTAGTTAGTAGTAGTTAGTAGTAGTTAGTAGTAGTTAGTAGTAGTTAGTAGTAGTTAGTAGTAGTT